TGTGAGTTGCTGTGCATTGTGGCATAAATATTTCACTGTAGTGTATTTACACTTGTTTTCTATCTACAACTAAATTGCACGTTCGTTCATTTATTTTTGGCACAAGTTTTCTGTAATCCTTTCTTCAACATTGAATGAAACAGAGCATCAACATCACAATTATTCAACATCATCGAAAGAAGGTCAAACACCAAAATATGCTTTAATTTGATGTGCCATATGCATATATAAATTCTTTTTTTTTTAAATACAGAAAATAAAACAAATAAAAAATGTTCACAGTTTGGGCAAAAAAATGTGTACATTATGAATGTGGGTAACAGAAAGTAATTCATAATAATTTTTTTTATTTGGCCTGATTTATAGGGTATACCATATGTCTGGGATTTCAGTTTATTTTGGGAGTTATAAGACAGAAAATACAAGGAGTTGAATACAATTTTAGTTTGGAACAATTTTAGAATGTGGTATGTTTGTCTTCTATCTTTAATAGCCTCACCAGCACTATATTTTCTTATAATTGTTTTATCAAATTTATTTTTTTAACAATTTTGAAATTTTTAAACGTTTTTCCTTTTTTAAAAATTATACAAACTTTATTTGTAAATGTAATTTTTTTTTTAAACGAGGGGGCACAGAGGGGTTATTTTGTGATTTACAGGGGCTTTGATACTTAGTATCTCTGAGGAGATTACAGTATTCTCCTCAGGGATACTTTGTATCAGTTAGTAATGCACAACCGGCTTGCCACTGCACAACACAGTGAGCTGTTGCCGGCTCTGTGGCCACAGCAATCAGCTATCACTGTCCTCATAGTGCTGTGATCACCTAGGTCTTCTGTTGAGGGTCTGCCTCGGACCTTGAGGGATCCATCAACAGCAGTAACTCAATGAGTGCTGGTCCCTCCACGTACCAGTGCTCATTGTACCGATTGACAGGATTATCCCGCCACCGGTCATTAATTAACTGAATGATCGTGATGGTATAATCCTGTCATCAGTCGGGAAGGGGATAAACTAATGAAAAGACCAGAAGTGCAGTTTAATCCATAGCAACATATCAGTTATAAACTTCTATTTGTTTGCCCAGTCTGAAGGAACCATATATAATAGATGATCAACCTCCCATATATATTATTTTTTTTCCATTTGATAAAGACACCTACTGCTCACCTATATAGTCAAATTTGCCTAATGATTATGCAGTAATTGTTCTGATTGTCCAGCAGTTTGAAGTATTGAATAAACTATCCTTTTGAGGATTTCTACGAGAGTGCTGACTATTGTACCCCCCAAGAATAGGATCTTTCAGCTCATATGTTGCATTGTGTAATGTATCTGTTAAGATTATGGCCTTAAAAAAACAATAAAAACCTAATGTGGCAAGCATCATGATTGCTCAGTTTGGTATGAAGATAGGTATGAAAGGCCAAACAAAGGAGCAGTCCTGTGCTGTGTTGATGGTACAAGAAGTAGTAGCTTAGGAAATTGTTTAACACATGCTTGCCATATTCACAGCCTGCAAACCCTTCACAAAACATGCACAAGGGATTTTGTACTTTCATTGTTTTTTTACATTGACCTTTAGTGATATCAGTGGGCAGTTCATACTGTATTGCATAAAATGGAAGGACAGTGTCAGAATAAATTCAGAGATCATTTTAGGATCTACAGCTGAGTGATACACAAATAAGAAACATTTTTGTTAAAAGTGTAGCCATAGTACCTAATGCATTCAATGTATTATTATTGAATAACCTTCCTTAAGCTGCCTAACCATCTCTAAATTTGGTTAATAGGGACAGCATGATACAATTACACCTAATAGTACTGGCTAGTAACTTGGTGGTCCCAGCCAGATGTCCATCTGCTACAGGCAGTAGGGGTCTAGCACACTTTAGATCTAACATTAAATATTCCATAACAGTTTCCATCTGGCAAGTTTAAATATCTTTAAACTATCCTTGCTCTCTTCAGCCAAACAAATTGAGCACACTTCTTATTAAGCACCCATGCTTTTGACTTTGTCACACTTATTATAACTTTTACCTTGAAAGTCCCCAGACCATTCAGCCCAGGCAGCCACTCTAGCAAAATTCTTAATCAGCTTTAACTGCTGATGCTGGTAAATATCAGATTTCCTAGGACTGGAATCAAAGGGGATGGTGCTGGCGATAAGGAGTGTTGAGAGAAGGCGGACCGGACCACCGTCAGCGTAGGCATGATGGTGGGGTGGGAGCGGATGGTCGGGGGGAAGGGGGGCGAACACCAGGGTAGGCCTGACAATGGTACCGGAGAGAAGGATTGCTCCAGGCTGGTCCAAAGCTTTGAAGGTAAATGTCGGCAGCAATCCAGTACTCGCGTCAGGTGGACAGCTATATAGCAAAGATGTACGTCCGGTAGGCCCATCCCTCCAGAGTCCTTAGGTAGGCGTAGAAGGTTGTATTTAAGTCTGGAAGGTTTGCCCGCCCAGACGAAGTTGGCGAATAAAGACCTGAGGGATCTAAAGGATGCTGGTAAATATTGAAATGGCATTGAGAATCCAAGAGTGCAGATGTTTACATTCCTTGCTGTTGTATTCCTTTTGGGTAAACCATATATATTGGAAATTTGTTGGAAAATCTCAATGCAAATGGATCTGATATTTTAAGCTTACATAGAGAAAAACGAGTTCAGAAATACATACCACATACTGGCTGTTAACACTGGGCATAGACCCCAAAGCTTAGTCCATTTATATATGTTCACTCATTCTCAGGCAGATATCTCTCTATTTCTGACCATCCAACCATAAACTGCAATTTATGACCTGTTTCATATTTGATACAGATACATTTGGCTTCAGGTTTTGGTAACTATAGGAATCAACTCCACATTTGTTATGATTTCCATTTTTTCTGTTTTATTGAATCAGCTTCTGCAAACTAACAAAGAATAAACTCCCATGGGAGGCATATACAGAAGATAATACAGTACTACATTTATGCATTCTCCTTTGAGGCCTCATTGAGAAGCTGTCTTGGTAGAATGCCAGAATAGTGTGGTCTGAACTACAGCACTACAAATTACAAAATATCCAGATCCAGCTTTTGGAGCACTAATTGGGCATTACAATGCTTGCAAAAAAAAAACCCTTTTAAATCCTGTCCAAATTCACATGTAACGCAAATCTATGGTTTTCCCTGTGAAGAACAAAAAACAGATTTCACTTTAATGCCCCACCCCCCCTCCACCCCTCCCATGCAGGACATACATATTTCCTTTGTCACTCTATTTACCCTCTTAGAATGAAAAAATATTTGGTACTTCCAGGTTGGAGAATGGGATTTCCCTGCCTCTCATAGGACAGCATTGGAAAAAGGTGATTGGCTGAGTGCTGTCAAAGGGGGGTAGAGTGAGAGTTTTTAGCCATCAACGCCAACTTGAGTGAGGTAGAGCACAGGGCTTCCTTTTACTCACTCCTGGTTTCTGAATGGAGTGGTGGGGGAGTGAAAGAAAGGTGAATATGGGAAGCAGGCCAGGAGCAGATATTCCTGCACAGGCAAAGCACAGGCTTTCTTTAAGCTGTTTTTAGCCAGTCATTATTGAATAGTGAAAGCAACTAGTGAAGGATAACACTGGTCAACAAAAAACAAAAAAAATTTCAGGCCTGGACTTTTGCAGCTGTTTTAGACTAATTTTGGGGTGCTGATTCCAAATCTGATCTCAGATTTGCTCTATCACATCTCATTTTTATGCTATCTGCATACCCCATTTTCATTGATTTTTACCCGAAATTAACTCTTTGTCACTTATGATTGCAAGTTGTTGCGAGTCAGTGACTGCTTTAGTGTTAAAATATGGTGCTGTATTTTTAGGATAGTGTGTTTATAATATAATATTATGTAGATGACCACATTTATTTAATATTTTCCTTCTGCGGGGCGTGATCTAACAATGGCTACAACATCCGAAAGAAGGAAAGGCAGTAATGACCCAGATATCTTCTGCTACATCTGTGGCAGCTTCACTTTGCAGGATCAAAGGCGCAACATCAATACCTTTGTCAAGAAGGTTTATCTTGCCTACTTTAAAGTACGACTTGGAGACCAAGACAAAATTTGGGCTCCTCACAAAGTGTGTAAAACCTGTGTTTGAAACTTTGCGATCATGGTCTAAAGGAAAGAATGCTAAGCTGAAGTTTGGTGTGCCAATGGTTTGGAGAGAACCTACAAACCATTTGGATAACTGCTACTTCTGCCTTGTCAGTGTAAAAGGTTTCAATAAGAATAACAAACAACACTTACAATACCCAGATATCCCATCTGCCAGACGACCAGTTGAGCACTGTGAGGAAATACCTGTGCCTGTATTTACTGAGCTACCAGAGATTGATGTTGAATCCCTCAGTTTACCTGCTTCTACAGATGATGATGATGCTCAGATCGAATATACGCCATCTGATGCAGATTGTGATAACATTTCTCTGTTTAGTCAGCCTGAATTGAATGATTTTGTAAGAGATTTGTATTTGCCAAAGCAGTCTGCTGAATTGTTGGCTTCCAGGCTGCAAGAGAAAGGACTACTCAGACCTGGCACTAGTGTCTCCTTTTATCGGAACAGAGAAGCAGCACTGCAAAAGTACTTCCATTCAGATGGTCAACTTGTTTATTGTAATTATGTTGAAAGGGCTTCTTTTCAATATGGGACTGCTCGCATATGATTCAAGTGAATGGAG